ATGCCAAGAAGGCTGCGAATCTGCCTGTTTTGAACTTTTTCTAAAACACTGCTCTCCTGCTAAGTTCTCAAAGCATGTACATCATTCTAGAGTAGATACTCGCTGCCCTTTCCCTACGATTCTTTTGCAGGACGCGTTGCCTTCCTATGCCACACTGATCACTACGAACCAAACCAACAACCACTTTCCATTTAAATTTTAATTCCAGACAGTTGTAAGATATTATTTGCATTAGGCTAACTACAACACTTGTGAAATTAATGATGACAGCAAATAAGTGGCAGCAGCACCGTTGTGTCCGTTGATGAACCTTGATTACGACCCCCTCCCAACTCTCATCGGAGCAAATACGACCCCCTGTCGAGGATTTCCTCGACCGTTATTCGCCCTACTTGATACTCCTCACAGTGCTGAAGGATGATTTTCTTGCGAGCACGTGCCGTTGCCCGTCCCGTCGATGCCCTTCTTCCGCAAGGTTCCTTCGGAACAGCAATCGCAGACTGCCTGATCGTCGGCTGTAGCCAGGTCAGGTAGCCTCTTCTCCTCGGCGTTATCACTCCTATCCCTCAGCCGCTGTAAACATTTCCCAGTCATCGCCGATGTGGCCATTCAGATCACCTGCTATGGTGAAGTAACTGTCTTCCGGGATTCCGATTTGATGGCATTATCAAGGCGTAGATAGAGCTTAATCGCATTCTGGGCATGTGGGCTGCGGTGCGTACAGGGACGTTATTTACTACCGCTCCTTCGTGTCTATTCTCACAAAACATATTATTTGAGCGACTCCGCTACCGCTATGGCCACACCGTTCCGCTTGGTGTCTTCTCCATTGTAGTAGAGTTTGACACCTTCCCCGATTTCCCTGGCCTTAGCACCTTTCCATCGCGTCTCCTGAAGGCATAGGACTTGGATATTCTGCGCGTCACATCAGCAACCTCTCGGGACTTTCCAGTTAGCGACCCTACGTTCACAGTCCCAATTCGAACTAGCTTCTTTGGCCGAGGCCGTTCACTCCTCGGTAGCCCTCGCATACTGACCACAGAACTCGGGCAGAGGTTCTATGCGCTTAATCCGTCCCAGCTCTATCACTGAGTCCTAGCTCTATCACTGACACACCTTGCGACATGTTTGTTTGGCGGGGGTCTTCATCAGCCGGTCTGCCAACCTGGGCCTGGCGCTGAGCTAAGCGTACCTATCGTTACCATTTATCAATTTCACTTCTTAAAACTGTTAGGGTAACGATTATTTCATTATTTAGGACACTGAACATTCTTGCCCGAACTGTCACAAACTTCTGGGAACATACGAAAGAATGTGATGTGAATCGCCTGAAAGCACTGCTCCTTTGTGTGGTGTTGAACTCAGCTACATCGTCAGTTTTAATGGTGTTGAAGAGTGGATTTGCTCACATATACATGATTATTTTGAGAGTTTCAACATTATCACTACATGCATTGCGTGGCCGACATTTTTTTTGGTCAGGAAAAAATTGTATTTGCCACTGAGCCAAGGACTTCAACTTCCTTTGGGATTTTTACTGGCAGGTAGGCCGAAAGAACCTGAAGTATTGGTTACGAAGAAGATTGCCTAATAAGGTATCGCTTGACTAGACTATAGGCTGTTGATATTTAGTGGAGATGAATGTCGGCATGTGAGCAGTGTGTTAAAGCAACAATTCATGACTGAATTGAGATCGTAAAAATGGTCAATAATGAAGTGAGGTTGCCTAGTTGGCTGCAAATATACAAAAAAAGCAAAGAAGACCACCAATGAACCCCTAAATAAGGACCCTCTCATTCTTCTTGAAGCGAACGAAGGGGCGTGCCGGACGAGACGTCCGAAGTAGCTTGCTCCGCCGGCATTTATCAGCCGCTCGTGACCACAAGCAGAGACATAAGCATCAGTACAAACAAAGAAATGCTATAATAAAATGAGGTGAGCGAGTAAAACTAACTACAAACTCTCCTCATGAAACATGCTAATCAAAGTTCAGCTATTATTCCACTAAAATTTTAATACATTGTGAAGTGTTGATGATTCATTTCATTCTAATGTAAAGCCGACAGCTGTCACCACAAAGAATTTAGATCAGTCACTGCTATAGCGAATTCCTAGAATGGTAGACGTCCCCTGTTGACCATGTTGATCATTGGCAGATTCACTGAATTATGAGCGTGCTAAGGTGAACAAAAAAGCGGAATGGACAAACTTAGGATTCTCATAACGCAAGTCCAACTTCAACCATCGGTGCTCCATGTTCCGCTATTTTGAAGAGTTGTGTTTGTAAAAGAACCTCTGGTTGTCAGGTTGATTCTCCAGTCAACATGCCAATTACCTACTGTTTTACTACGGGGTGGCTACTAAATATTAGTGCATAGTTTATTGCCAATATTT